TACTCTATTTCCTGTCTTTTCTTCTGTTCCCACACTCTTTGCGGCTCTTTCAGACGCGGGCGGTGGGGACCTCTCGCAGCGATTTTAACGCCCCCGCGGAGCCAAGAAATGCCAGGAAACAGTTTCCATGGACTGAAGCCAACGCGGTGCTGCTTTTCCTGCCGGTCCCTGGCACATTTTACAAGCAGTGACACAAATGGGCTGTACCAGAGCTCGGTGCCCCTGGGCTCCAAACTGCTGGGGCAGGAGCCTCTGGGCACAATCCTGAGCAGCCTCTCGGGTGCTGCTTCTTCCCCTTGGGAGGCTGAGCCCGTTCTGCAGCTGCCCTGGGCACCCCCATATCACGACAGGGCCACGACAGGGAGCTTGTCTGCAGGGTTTGGTTTTTTTTTCAGAAAAACCCAACCCAACAAAACAACAACAACAAAAAAAACTGAAAAAAAACAAATTCCAGTTCCCTGCCTGCAGTTTGAAGTTCGTATGTTTTCTTATTTCCTCTTGAAAGAACACAAGGGTGGACTTAGAAAAAAATGTTTTTAGTCATTAATCCATTCCTTTCCTGTGCCCACAAGAACTACTGGTAAATGACGTCTCCCTGATCCCTCAGCATGACTTTAGAGCCTTTCTTCAATTAAACATTTCCCCCGATAATGAAAGGCTGTATAACAAGGTCATAAATTTAGTTAGGACATTTTGGGTTGGGTGTAATTTGGTCCAACTTTTCTGGTATCATTTAAAGTGCAGGGCCTCCATCCCAGCCACGTGGGACCCCTTCAGCCAAAAACCTCCCCCTGGATTTCTCAGATTTCCAACCGGTGGTCGTACATCTCCAACAGCTTCTCATTTCTTCTGGCTCCGGACTGTGCAGTTTTCACGAGGTGAAAGTTTGGGATAATTCTGTCCCCTGCACAGCTGAGGAGGGGGGTGACAGAGGAGCATCTGGCACCAACCAGGGCCAGCACATCATGGATCCTTTGGTTGGGAAACCTTAAATATTTTTAAGCAAGCAAGGTGCAAAAAATGGACTTTGTTCTTGGAAAATGAACCACACTAGGATCTGCTGTAGAACAGCAAAACAGTCAAAGAGCTGTACACATCAAAACCACGCCTCTCTTGTTTGACTCCCTTCCCCTGTCTGTGGCTCAACAGACTCAGTTCCCAAGTATCACCCACCCATTGACAGCTGCCCTGCGAGGTGAGTACTCCAGAGCAGCCCCTGGGCTGCCAAACTCGGGGTGGTGGGTGCTCCCTGCCCACAGTGAGCCACGGCTGGCACAGGGCTGAGCCCCCACATCAGGGTCTTGTCTCTGGGGGGGCTGCAATGACCACCTGATAAATTAAATGAAGCATGTTGAAGGGCAGGGAGGAGTAAACGCCAAAGGTCACAGTTTTACAGCTTTTGCTACCATGGGATTGGTTTGAGTGTCTGCTGCGGGGTTGTGCTGGTTTCTCATTTTTGCTGCTTCTTCAGTGATTTTGTTCGGGTTTTTTTCAGCCCCTTGTTGCTGACAGAGTTGCTTCTCGGGGAGAGAATTGAGCAAATCATGGTGAAAAGAGGTAAATAATGATAAAAAAAGGACTGTAATTTGTTTCAGTTGAGTGGAATGAACAGTGATTTTGGGGGGAGCTGGAGCAAACCAGCTGGAAACCATGGTGGGCTT